GTGCCTAAAATGCTGTTCTGCAATCCGGCCACACGGGAGGGGTCAAAAACAAAAGAAAGTTTGAGGGGACAGAGTTCGACTTCTGAATCCAAGCAGCTTTATCTTGGAACAGCAATCATCATCAGCTGCAATGGAAGTTTTTGGACTGGATGATAAACTCAATGTCATATTTCTAAGTTGTTGTTGTTTGTTTTGTTTTTTAAGGGAGGGGGGTTGACTCTTCCTATGAGCTAAAAACAACAAAACAAAAACCATTTTGCTGGCTTGTTTGTTGTGTTAGTGAGAACTTAAGTCTGAAAACTGTATGTACTTTGTGTTGAGTGGGTGGAAATATGCAAAATTAATGACCATTTGACATTTTCAAAGCAAATTTTGTTCTGTGTCAGAGGGGGAAAATGTCATCAAAAAAAAGAAGAAAAAAAAAAGTAGAAGATTATTACTGAATTTGATTTTTTTTGTCCTGATCTGTAAAACTGGGATATTTTAAGGAAAGAAGGGCTTTGGGAAATTCTATTAACGCAATAGCTACTGGTTCCACATATTTAAAATACTTTTAGTAGTTTTCCCCCCTTGAGGCAAGGAACGAACTGGAAAAACAAACTGCAAAAGTATAAGTTTAGTTACTAATTTTTACATTTTTCAAAGTGGTTTAAAATCAAGCTGAAACAGCCGTTCAAATTCACCTTCAGATCCCTGGAACTGCAACTAAATAACCACTGAAACCTTTCAAATGTCGGCTTAATAGTCCTCTTGACTCCGTTTGTAATGGATACTTTGTGTACCTGCAAGTGTAAAAATAAACTCTGAATGTCAAGCAGAGACATCCAACCTGCGGGGAGACAAATGCGGGGGGAGCTCCTACAGCCATGTCCAGCTCCAACTGTGCACAATGAAGACTTTGATATGCAAAAACAACCCGCTTCATAGCGGTCCGTGTAGCCTGACAGTCCGTGTGTGTAACAGGAGCTGTGCCGCGGTGGCTTACAGCCTGCTAACGGCTCTAAACCAGGTGTCCGGGCATACCTGGGAAGTTGGTTTAAAGGATTTGGTAGTTTCAGTCGAGGTAATGCGAAGTGGCTAGCTCCCAGCGGCTGCAAACAGACAGAAACGCACAGCTGCGCTGTCAGTGAACGGGCCTAAGGTGAAAGCTACCCCACCAACAACAAAGGGTAGAGGCTGGGTGGAAGAAAAGCTCTTTTTTTCTTTTGAAGTCATTAAGTGGGTTTCTTAAAACGGCTTAAATGCGAACCACGTATTAAACAAAAAGATACAATAAGCTACTAGAACACGTAAAGCACGCATCTGGGGCAAACCCCGTCTCTATTTGAATGCTAGAGGCCAAACAAAGTGTGCTCCGCTATGAGCTAGCACGCAGCTACAGCATGGCAGCATCACTGAAGCAGGTCAACAAAACAAGGCTGAGCTCCGGGAACAACAGCAGCGGCACACACGACGAAGCTCTAACGTGTAACCGTTCGCGGGTCGCCGTTACCTGGCATTGTGCTCCTGCTGTGTGTCTCAACGCGTAGGGTAACACAAAGTTACTGTCAGTAAACTGCGAGCTCGTCGTGTCTTCTGTGGGGATTTCTCCGCGCTGCGATGCAACGTAGCTCCAGTCAGCTAAATCCTGTTAGCCACCTCGCTAACGTTAGAAAGCTGGGTCGGTTATGTGGTCTGATGAGGCGTTCATCTACTGCCAGGAATGTGGGGATTTGTACCTCACACCAGAAAAACTAGTAGATAAAAGCAGAGGCGGGGTAAATAATGTAAATCCCATCACCACCAACGCTATTGGAGTCGACTACTGTTAATCTTACAATCTTCTTTACCACTTGATGAGATCACAGATAGGATCAGTGGGAATGTAACAATGAGTACATTTGCTCATTTACTTTAATCAGCTTTAATGTACTTGTACTTTGAGTATTTCAATGCACTCTATATTGTGAGTGCAATTATTGCACTTCATACCCCATATACTATTTAATTTAGAAGCTTTAGTTGCTTATTATTTTTGAAAATGATTTGCATTATTACAGCTCAAGCTACTGAGTAATAGAAATCTAATTAAAATGATCAACAGCTTTTAACATTAAAGAGATATACACATAAACAAATCAATAACTATAACCCAATAATTTCATGTATATGATTCTAAATGGTGCCGTTTGACATGAGTTAATTTGCTTAGGTGCAGCCTGTGTACTATTAAGCTTCTTAAATAGGAATATAAATCTTAGTTCAGTTAAAGGTCTATAAATACTTTTTTTCCACTTTGAAAAACAACTAATCATCACAAGATTATGTTTAAATTCTTATGCAGCTCCACTTTTCACTTTTCAACATAATAAATCTGCAAATGCAATAAATCTGTTGCACATGAGCTTGAAAATTGTGATTTTGTAGTTGTATAAGTTATGTTAAAAAAGAGAGAGAAAAGGAATTGCATTGGTTCACTCCAATCCATAACACATGAATACAGCTGACTGCTTTCAACAAAACCTATAATGATGCTAGTAAATATATCTTTTAATACCATGGTAATGGGTTCAGCTAAACTTTAGAGGTCTGAGTGCTGACGTCAGTGAGCAAACTGCGACATTCAGCACACATTGATCTCCATTTAAAACCAGTAACAAATGTAAGCAGGGATGCGGAGAGAAAAACAAAGCACCACCATAAAAACTGGTGTTTGTTTATCGTCCAAAAAACTATTTGCAGAAATGCAATAAAAACAGATTGCTTCGCCTATCCAAGCAGCTACAACATCTGGTTAAATTCCACCACAGCGTTTCCATTCCTTTTCCCCCCAGAGGTTAATGGTGTGTGATTAGAGGATGAATGCCAAGACTGAACAGAATCCAGCTCGGATTCAGTCTGAGCAGAAATACACAGTAAATCATGGAGCCTCTCTGCTCTGCTGTCAATCCTGAGAATGAAACAAGCAAATGTGAAGGGCGACTTGTTTTCAGCACATCGTACTGAGTGAACTGCCAGTGTCACGACAAGCTCCGGCATCTTTTCTTCTTTGGCCTGCTGTTCGTTATGCTAATTGAGTGACAGCAGCTGACAACAGTTAAAAAATGGTTCCAAAAATAAAATAAAAAAATGCATGTGGCTTTTTTAAATAAAAGTAAAATGGTAAATGGCCTGTATTTGTATAGCGCTTTGCTAATCCCTAAGGACCCCAAAGCGCTTTACACATCCAGTCATCCACACACTGGTGATGGCAGCTACATTGTAGCCACAGCCACCCTGGGGCGCACTGAGGAGAGGCTGCTGGACACTGGCGCCACCAGGCCTCTGACCACCACCAGTAGGCAACGGGTGAAGTGTCTTGCCCAAGGACACAACGACCAAGACTGTCCAAGCCAGGACTCGAACCGGCAACCTTCCGATTACAAGGCGAACTCCCAACTCTTGAGCCACGATCGCCCCGATGTATAAACCACTTAGCCTGCCAATGAACAGGACATTAACAGGCATGCTGTAAAAGCAATTTAAATCCTTTATTATCAACAAATTCAATTCACGTTTTTGTTTAATAAAATTTTGTCAGGAAGCAGTGAAAAAAGGTACAAGTGTCACCACTGGGAAGATCTTTGCAGCAGCCAGAGGATATATGTAAAAATGAAGTCAGCTTCCCCAAAATTATACATTTAAGGAGTAACAATTTAAATGAGAGGTGAACAGGTGAGAAAAGCGGTAAACTAAATGGAATGATATTTTGTAATGATTGTGAAGGCACATGTTTGAAATGTTTGAAATAAAAATGAACTGAACTGAACTGAAAAGTGCCCAAGGAGTAGAGACACGAGGACAACAGGAATTCAGAGTGAATAAATGGCTGAAACAAAAGTTTGGCTCAAACTGCTAACAGTGTGGACAGCAGTAAAAATATCTAATCAAATAAAAACAGATTAAATGTAGTAAAGGGAATGTGGGAGATGTTATATTTGTAAGCACCCACTTAAAATAAATTAGCCTGATGTAAGTGTGAAGAGTAGGAGATATAGGGAGCAGTTGAAAGTAGTCTATAAATGGGATAAGTAACTGACAGTGTGTGAGATTACAAGTAACTGATACACAGCTTTAAGTAATGAGTACTGTATATGCAAATGCAGTTTACACTCGTTAAAAAAAATCTAAACATTAACAGTCTGATTGGGGGAGACAGTTTTAACAATATCTGCTGTAATTTAATCAAGTTAAACAGCATAAAGAAGAAGCTACTGATTGTTTTAACCCCGGATGCCCTTCCAGATACAACCCAAAAAGGGATTCGCGTTTTCTCCTGGGAAAGACAGTACACTTGTTAGGGAAATGTATAAACCCTACATGGAATTAGTTCCATTAAACATGAAAGGTGGCGTTGCTGCAGAGGTACGTGAGTCTTTGTGACATGATAGAGGAGCTACATTAAAAAAAAAAGCACCACAACACTGAGATTCTACCTGCTAGTTCTATTTTGCTAGTCAGCATTGAGAGCTACAGTATAGATGGCAATCAAAAATCGGGCAGCACTTGAATGCAGCATGTGCACAAACATCTCGAGCTCCGTCACAGCACCTCTGTCTGTACTCCTGACTAACCCCAGAGGCAAATGCCTGCGTGGCTCCGGAGAGAAACGCGCTTCTGGCGCTTCACTCTGGGAAGACACGCTTTAACTGACTTTTATGCGGCTCAAAATACTCTAATAATGGACAACATGAGGCCTTTTGTGTCAATTAGTGTGATTTAAAAAGAGAATTATTTGAAAACTGCATATGTTCATAAACTTGGCTGCCCTACATTGTAGTTAGGCCACTGTTACTACTGTGGAAGTTTGTTTTT